ATGAGCGTGTGTATAGGATGTTTCCGATATTTAGTTACTCCAGTATTTCATTATCATGTGGCACGGACGTATTTGAAACCTGTCCTCACTTTTCAACGTCTAGTCAAGGTTGGTTTTTAAATTTATTTTTTTGTTTGTCTTCAAAAGAAACTAGAACGGTTCGAATTTTTTTGCGAGTGGTGTCCACAAAAAAAAAAAAAAAATAATAACTCGAGCTTGTTCTTGTTTAGTTTGATTGTCACTACTAATTGTCAAGAGAAAGAAGGAAATTATTGTTTATCGTAATAATTACAAGATTCAAAATTTATGAAATGTTCACGTCTTTGAGTCTTTTTTTTTGTTATTAATGTTTTTCACCTTTTTTTCAGTTACGCAACACAATTGTTTTTTAAACTTTTTTTAACCTTCTATCAGATCTCTATGTTAACTAACATTTTTTTTTTTTTTTTTTTTTAGTTTTGTGAGGTTTCGATCATTCATCCACGGCCCTATAATGGGGCTGGGATAGGTTTCAGCACTTCCCTTTGCTGGAATTGAGAACTAAACAATAGAAAACAAAATTTGTCGTCTTTTTAGCTTCAATCTATGACAATGCTATTGATTGAGCTTCTGTTTGGCTTCTGTATCGTTTGCTTTTTTTTTTTTTTTTTTTTTTTTTTTACTGCCATTAGTTTTCAAAATTCAGAATAAATCACAAAACTTCATTTTCCGCTTTCCCCCAAAAAAAAAAAAAAAAAAAAAACATTAGCTTCTAAAACTTTTATAAGTATGCGATAAAAAAAAAGTCTAGGTCTCATTCTTATTCAAGTAAGTTAAAGTTGTACAACCGAAAAAAGTGCGTATTGGAAATCAAACAAAATTTGTTTTTAATTGGCAGGATTTATAATGAAAGTTGGAGTGATTTCCTGTTGTTTTTCCACGGTTTTGAATTTAGAATTTTCCTTCTCCTAGACTGGCTGCCACCTGGGGAACCCAGTTTAGTTTATTTAATCCATAGCTTTGGAAAGAAGCAATAGATTCATAGTACCTTACCCGGAGACATTAACTGCGAAACAGACTAGGTTGGAATTTGAACTTGATTTACCGATTTCACTGTTGATAACACTTTACACTTACACTATTCGCACATTCAATATGTGTGTGAGATATATACATTTTTATATATCAGAACAATGTTAGGTAAATGAATGACAAAGTGGAAAGAATTTTGTGTAATGCATTTTGTCCTCTAGAGTCTGATGAAGTCCTTCTAGTCTTAATATAAACCTATCTTCACACACACACATACACATACACACTCCTTACGGTCGTATCACATCGAAACACTGATTCTCATATGATTACCAAAGTTAATGTCAAGACTGGTCAGTATGTAGATGTGTTGCCGTTTGGAATTACTAGGTAGTGTAAGCTGTAACAGCTGGGAATTGAAAATCGGATAGCCAAGTTCCAATTCCAGTCAGGTTCATTATATCCCCTTATATACAAATACCCTTGGGAAATGTATGAATCCACTTCTCCCCAAGCTATAGGTTAATTAGTAGGATTTGTATCAGTAAATCATTATTATCTCCAAAAAATTCTTACAATCTAAAAATATTTTCTGGATTTAAATAACTTGCAAAGGATTGATAAGCCATAAAAAGCAAACGAATCAATCAATCGACACACACACACACACACACACACACACACACACACTTTATGGAAAAAACAGATTCAAAATATAGAATCAGAAATATTCTTTTTTTTTTTCCCTTAAGCTTTTCATCCCAAGCAAGGCAAGAAGCCACTAGGACGCAAGGGGTTACAGAAAATTTGGAGCAAGATCAGATAGGCGTGATAGAAGAAAGGATGAGGAGAAGGGTAGTGGATAGATCAAAGCAACTGGAGATGTCGATTTACATTACATTTGAATAGTTGGAGATTATAGCTCTCAGGGAAACTGGAATAGGGAAGGGAGTTCCACAGGCAAGAGGTGCAAGACATGAAGATATTGGAGTAGAAGAGACGGTTACATTTAGGAGTTTCGACAGTGAAAGGATGAGAGCGGGATGCCAGCCTCGTAGGGCGCTTGTACTCATGAAGTCTGGGAACCAGTGACTGTTTCCTCACTTTCTCTGTATCTTTCCTGCAAATATACCTCTTTACTCTTGCTCTACTCCCGCCTTGCTGAAGCACTTCTTTATTCAAATCAGTCTTTTAGCGAAAAAGTGTAAAAATTGTGGGATTGTTAGATTTGGTCCCTTTCACCACTTTTTATTTTGTGGCACCATGCATGTTAGGTAATGTTAGTTTATTATGAAATAGGACATCAAGTACAGGTTCTCAGTAGGATCAAACTCACTAGTGTCCTATGAAAATAGATTGCTCATTTTTGATGGTAAGCATGACAAGAGTGTATCAAAAGTCTCTCACCTGATATGACAGTTGTTACATGAATTTTGATCTGAAAATTTAATAGTAATTTGCAGTTTGATCTTGATGAATAATTGCGAAGCAGTGGCAATTAAGTTCATTGACTAAGAAGGAGGAGATTGTTGAAAAATAAATATTATTTATGTAAAAATAAATGCATTTTTTTTTATCATAGACTACATATTTACTGATTTATCTATGTACAATATAAAGCCGCACATCATAAGGATCATACTCAGATCTGTGAAATTAGCTTTAACCTAACTAACCTCAACTACTAGGTGGCCCAGGTCCACATTTTCTTTTTCATTATTCTATGAAGAAGTTAAATTTACATGGAAGAATTTGAAGAATTTATTTTGTGAAAACAAATTGTGTATATTTTTTTCTCATCAACAAACCATTTAAAATTGTCAAAATTGAAAATTTTTCTGTCTGTTTAAACTGTTTGGATTTATTTATATTTGTTAAACTTTCATCTGACACAGTCCCAATTTTCCTTAGTTCTTCCTCCATTTTGAATTGTCAGTTCATAATTCTTTAATATTTAACTTGGGAGGCAAGTACTTCCTCTGTATAAATCTGGCTCTGTAAAAATCAAAACAGAACACTCTAACAAAAACAATAGATATACCTAATACTTACTACATACATTAACAAATTGCAAATTATTATTTACTACATTTGAATGTAATAAGAATTATGTAGTTACTAAATAAACAAGAAAACAATTAGGAAGCAAAATAAAACAGCAACATTTTCTATAATATTGAGAAGAGATATTATTGTTGTTAGGACTATTGAAAATTTTTTTATTTTTACCATTGTGTTGTACCCAAGGAAATCCTTAACAAATTCTACATGTAATACAAAATCACAATAAATTTTGTAAAGATCAAAATTATTGTTTTGCTGAAATTCACATTTTTTTGTAAAGTATTTTCAGACTTTGTTGATACACACTTTTGTAAAATGTTTTATTGCTTTCTGATTATATGGTTATATTTTCTGTAATCAATTGGTATAAACAAACTAACTCATTACTTTTACAATATCATCTAAAAATGTCTCTAATTGTAAGCTGCTTCCTAGTATGATGTATAGTTGCTAATTAATTACTGGACATTACTGACAAGTTCGTTGCTAAAAATGTTCTCAGTAATTGTTATTTAGTAGTAATTTAGGTCTCCACATGTCTGCCCCTAGTTATGAACCCCAGTTACATTGTTGCCAGGCCTGGGTTAAGGATCACCTTGGTTGTGCCTGATCCATTCTAGAGCTTTCTTCAAGTGTCTCACCTTTTATGATTGATTCATTTTTTATGGCTTATCAACTAGGCTTATCAATTAGATTAAAAATTCCGAACCATTATCCACGCTACCATCTATACATTGAGACTTACAGTACCTAGTATTCCCAAGTGATCACCCATCTCGATACTGACCAGACCAGATGCTGCTTAACTTCAGGGATCATATGGGAACTACTGTTTCAACACTATATGGTTATAAGTCATCTCATCTTAACATTTACCACTTTGCATCATTTATAAATATTACTTCCCCTTTTATTGTATGGAATCCCCTCAAAATATGGCGTTTTATATATTAGTTCTATATATTTGAAATTGCAGTAACCTGGTTCTCAATTTCAGTCAAGATTGATTTAGATGTTGCCATAGAAGGATATGACTATGCAACCAAGAAATTCAAATTGGCAGGAATAACATTTTGCTTGACAGAAATAGTCACCTACAAAGGGCTAAATGTTAAGGAATGTGAGGGGTGCTTTTTTTTTTCCAGAAGATTCCTTTTATTTCTTTCTGGATTATATACAATAAAGACAATTGTAAAATGAATCAGTTGAAACATTATGGTAAGAAAAATAAATAAATGAAACATTTAAAAAAAAAATAAAGAAGTGTGAGTTTAATAGTCCAAAGAGCTTGCAGAAAAACAAGTTATAATTTTTCTTATTAGAATATTTGTCCAAGTTTTCAAATAAAATATTCCTTATAGACATGTTTCTCTCCCCCTCCCACCAAACCCAATATAAAGAAAGTTATCCGTACTTAATCATTTGTTGCTTTTAATGTTGGTAAAAAAAACTACATGAACTCTTTCTACAAGGAAAATGTAAGAAGACTAAATGTTAACTTGTTTAATACTGCCAATATATATTTACTACCCAGCATAATTATTGAACGGATAGCTTTCAGCTAATATAAACTTGTGCTTTAATTAGTTAACCTGTTCTGCCCACTTTATATGGTTTTTCACAAGAGAGATATAAAATCTATTTGTCTGGTGTAATTATATCAGATTAGATCAACACTAAATATCAAATATAAGAATTCAGAATGTATGGCTGTTAGCAAAAGAAACAACCAAGGATGTGAATTATGAATTGGAGACACTAAAATCAAGCAAGTACAAAAATTTAAATATCTAGGAAATGTTCTAAAAGAGGATGGAATATGTGACACCAAATTCTGAAGACGCATTGGAATAGCAAAAGACGGCTTACAAAAGATAAGCAAAGTATTAAGAAACAGGAAAAATGTGTTAGAAACAAAAAAAGAG